CTAATTTTTTAGGTTTTTAGAATAAATTTAGTGGAAGAGATTGATACAAGAGAGAAAGAGAGAGAGAGAGAGATTTCAAATGGCCTCATTATATGAACCCTATCTTTAAATTAATATTTTCCTAAATTTATATTAAAGACCATAATGTTATAAAAATAAAAAATATAATTAGACCATTTATTCGTAGTTAAAAAATAGAATGCGATGAAATGTCCCACATCCAAAAAATAGACTATTGAACGGGATGTAATGTCCAACGGTCCAATGACGTGCCCATGCTCCATCCCAATTAGACTATTGAATAGGATGAAATGTTCCACATCCAAAAAATAGCATAAGTTTGATGTGAATAAAAGCCTATTCAGTACCACCCTCGAATGTGTGCTTCAAAAGCATGATGGAGCATGGGCACGTGGCACTAGGGGTGTTTGAAAATATGCTTTTGAAGGAGCATAGGCACGTGGCACTAGGGGTGTGTTTGAAAAAATGGAGCATGGTGGGGCACGTGGCACTAGGGGTGCTTGAAAAGAATGATGGAGCATGGGGCACGTGGCCCTAGGGGGCCATGGTTGACAAAGGCACACGTGGCCATGTGATTGCTGCCATTTTTAAGGAAAAGTACAAAAATACCCTCCACACTTTAAAAAAAAGTGTGATGAAGTCAATACTCGGTTTAATAACACCATAATCAACAGAGTCGGTGAGTTGTGACGTCATAATCAATAAATTCGATGAGACTCGATGAGTTGTGACGTCAAAATCAACAGACTCAGTAAATTGTAATATCATGTTACTGATTTACTGTACAGACAAGGCCAGATCCCATTTATGGCTGGATCCGGAACAGCTCAACCGATACCCAATCCGGATCGTCCGATCTCGAATCGGATCAGCATTTTTTTTAACACTGTATACATGTAATATACACATATTTGCATGTTATTTGTACATAAAATAGATACAATAAATTCTATATTTTTTATTTAGACTACAAAACTAACTAGACCAAATAGTTGGGTCGAGGTCAGCTCCTAGTCCAACTAGGACCCAAATAAGGCGAGTCCTGGTCAAGGTCAACCCGACCCAATTACACCCTTATGCCTGAGAAAGAGTGCCCACACACAAATACGTGCACCAATGGAGTGCGTTGGAGAAGAGATATATACATGTATACATAGGCATATAATGTGTAAGAAATGTGTACGCATACATAAAATACAAAGTCAAACATCATTTATTTAAAGTAGTCAAGACCAGTGTTCAAAAAAACTCCGATCCAATCCTGAACCGGACGATCTGGATCGAGTATCGGCTGAGCCGTTCCAGATCCAACCATAAAACAGGATCCGGCCGTGTGTATACAGTAAATCGATAACATGACGTCACAACTCACCGAGTCTATTGATTATGACATCACAACTCATCGAGTCTCACCGAATCTGTTGATTATGATGTCACAACTCACCAACTCTGTCGATTATGATATTATCAAACCAAGTATTGACTTCATCACACTTCTTTTTAAAGTGTAGAGGGCATGTTTATAATTTTCGTTAAAAATGAGAGCAATCACATGGCCACCTGTGCCTCAGTCAACCATGACCACCTAGTGCCACGTGCCCCATGCTCCATCATTCCTTTCAAGCACCCCTAATGCCACATGCCCCACCATGCTCCATCTTTTCAAAAACCCCTAGTGCCACGTGCCCATGCTCCTTCAAAAGCATCTTTTCAAACACCCCTAGTGCCACGTGCCCATGCTCCATCATGCTTTTAAAGAACACATTCGAGGGTGGTAATGAATAGGCTTTTATTCACATCAAACTTATGTTATTTTTTGGATGTGGGACATTTCATCCCATTCAACAGTCTAATTATATTTTTTACCTAGGAATTGGACATTTCATCCCATTCAATAGTCTAATTAAGATGGAGCATGGGCACGTCATTGGACCGTTGGACATTACATCCCATTCATAAGTCTATTTTTTGGATGTGGGACATTTCATCCCATTCTATTTTTTACCTACGAATAAATGGTCTAATTATATCTTTTATTTTTATAACATGAAGGTCTTTAACATAAATTTAGAAAATATTAATTTAAAGATAGGGTCCATACAATGAGGTCATTTTGAAAATCTCTCTCTCTCT